TTTACTCGTTTAGTAAACAAACTTTTATAAGACATGTATTGAAGAGAGAGAGAGAGAGAGAGAGAGAGAGAGAGAGAGATTATATTCTGCAAAACTATCAAATTAGCAAAAAAGCATTAAATATAATAATAAAACAAACATTTTTAAAACATCTAGTTTTTTTGTGTTAGTCTTGTATTCTTAAATTAAATCCCAAACGCATTGCAAAACCGCAACCGAAAGACGGGCACAACGAGAGAGAAATACAAATCATTAAATATATTTCTGTTCGAAATAAATATCAGATACAAAAAGCAGCGGAAAATTGTTGCATAAAATACTGAATATTTTCAAAGAAAATTAAAATTATTGTGTAATTACTTATTATAAGTTTGCGTATAATTATAGATACATTTCGAGAGAGGGAGAGAGAGAGAGAGAGGCTGGCGTTGACAGATGAGTGACAGGGAGGGGACGGGAGGGAGAGATCGCGAGCGGGAGTTAGAGAGTGACAGAAAATGGATAGCGAGGAACGGGGGGAATGGCGTGCCATTAATACACACACAAGTGTACAGTGAAGTAGAGTGTATGCCATACCTGTGGCTGAATGTTCGCCACTTTATTCCATGAGAACTCAAACTCCTGTAGCGGTACTTTGGCTTCCTTCAGATATCTTAAGAACTCGCGCTCCTCTGGATTCAGGATCAACAGAGCGTGACCTTTGGCCCCTTCGCCGCGTGCCGTTCGGCCCACTCTATGTATATATTCCTGTCATTTTGGGAGAGATTAATTAAACAATGAGTTAAATTGAATGAATTGATTGTTCGCAGAGTATCTGAACGACAATTTCTAGTCTTTGATAAAAACGATTTGTCAAAACCGATCGCATCGGAAGGTCTGGACGTCTCGCCGGCTATACTGATCCCGTTCTACGACACCGACAGTTCCACACTATTGTTGACCGGAAAGGGAGACTCAACGGTATACGCGTTTGAGATCTCGTCGCCGACAGACAGTCCGCCATTCATTCACCATTTGTCGCATTATAACGCACCCAATCCTCACCAGTCGGTCGCCTATCTCTACAAACGCTTTTGCGACGTCCGGGCCGTCGAGTTTGCGCGCGGACGTCGCCGACAGACAGTCCGCCATTCATTCACCATTTGTCGCATTATAACGCACCCAATCCTCACCAGTCGGTCGCCTATCTCTACAAACGCTTTTGCGACGTCCGGGCCGTCGAGTTTGCGCGCGGATATCGGTTGACACCGACCGCTGTCGAGCCCCTCTCCTTCACTGTTCCCAGACTTCGGGTAACTTTTAGTTTTCAAAATACTGTATTTTTAATACAAATTTTGTTAAATAACACTAACGTTGCGCTCATTTGGCATCGGAATAGACCGAGTATTTTCAGGACGACTTATTCCCGGCCACTCGTGTCCAGTGGGAGCCAACGCTTACGGCTGACCAATGGTTTGCCGGACAGAACGGACAACCCATGTATATAAGCCTAAAACCGGAAGAAATGGGTTTGTTATCGGAAGCACAACCGCCGGCGCCCACAAAGAAAGACAATATAAATGAGAAATCATTACCGATTCAGTTTGAGGGCGATATTCGGCTCAAGAGTTCGCTGGCATTCCTTAGCGGTGGCCGACAGAAGGAGGAAATGGTATTACATTTGATTTCGTGTCAAACAATGTATTAATGATTGGTTTGCTTTTATATTCAATTTGAATGACAAACAGATTATTCAACAAATGTCTGCAAAGGTTCAGTTCAAAGAGGATGAAGAGTTGCCTCAAGACAACTATGAAGGCGTTGATCCACACGAATGGGTATTTAATGATGATTTGGATTTGAAACCNAATGACAAACAGATTATTCAACAAATGTCTGCAAAGGTTCAGTTCAAAGAGGATGAAGAGTTGCCTCAAGACAACTATGAAGGCGTTGATCCACACGAATGGGTATTTAATGATGATTTGGATTTGAAACCAATTTTATTTACTAATCTCTCTCTCTCTCTCTCTCTCTCTCTCTCTCCCCTACAGAACGAGAATTGATGTCAACTCCTAAATGAAATTTTATCTCATTTTATATATTAATTTGAAGATTATTTGTATCTTTGTTTTTATACATTATTTGTATTAATATTTATTATAATTTATTTTTAATATAAATCATGTTTTTGTAGTGAATTTGTGCATAAAATGTATGCAATATTTACTTGAATTAAATTAAAGACATTTTAACCTAAAATATGGACTAATCAATAGTATTGAAAGTATTGTCAGACAATCACTAAACAACTCACACAGCGATGCCATACGTTAACCACAATTAGGGTATTACTCAAAGAATAGATTAGCATTTTCTGTAGATTTAATTTAAGTACAATACTTTTCATAAACTCAGCACTAATTCCATAGAGTTAAAATGAATTAGTCCCATACGATCAATATTATCTATAGAATTAGCATTAGTCCCATAGACTTAATATTGTCCATAAGATTAACATTAGTTCAATAGAACGGACAGTATCGATAGGATTAGCATTAATCCCATAGAATTATCATTGTCGATAAACTCAGATGTAATAGACTCAGTATTGCCCATAGAGTTATCATTACTACATTGTACACGTACTACACATTGTACATGTATTCCTCCCATACGATCAACATTGTCTATAGGATTAGCATTAGTCATTGTTAGATTAGGTTAGAAATTGGACAATGTAGTTTAGTTTTTGTCCTAAATGTAATAATTTTTGGGAAAAATTGATAAAACATTGAAATTGTTTTGAGAAAATGGAATATTTTGACCATTAGAACGATGAATACTAGAAAGATTACCCATAAGCTTAACATTGACTTAAGCACATTATATATTTGACTGGCCTTAAAGTTAGCGTTAGTCCATATTTCAAACCCTTTGCCCTTCACTTCAATCTATGTTTGCATTCGTGTCGTCACTTGAATTGTTCACACGAGCCATGGATTCGACGGTCACTGGTCTTCAGGAGTGGTTCCTCAAAGAGGACAACAAATCGGTGGTGAAGAACGAGGACTTACCGCAGATGTAAGTGTTGTAGTGATTGTTATAAGCAATGAATGTGTGATTAAGTGTTTTGTTTCAATGGATGGTTAGGCGCGCCAAACAAGTGGCCGCACAAATAGGAGCGGATACTCGTGAGGTCGTCCACACGATGATCACTGTTTGGATGGATATGGGATTAAGCACTCAGGACATGATGAACCGCATGAAAGAGATTAAACAAATCCATTGGACGGCCAACAGGAATGAACTGAAGACCGATACCTCACGTCTGGAGCGACTGATCCAATACACGGACACAAAGTTGAGACAAATTGATGGGATTCTCGCGAACTTAACGCTACCGACGTTTAGGGCGCCGACCGATGTGTCGCGCAAAGAGTTGGGAAGAATTCTTGTCTATAAGTTCAGTGAATTGGAAGCGCTTAAGAAGGAAAGGCTAAACCAATTGACTAAACTTGAGTCAAAACGAGACAAATTGTTGAAGAATATGAATATAAAGGCCAAAGAGTTGAGAAACGCTACTAATATCCCATGCGATGAAGAGTTGATGCGTTTGCAGAGCTATGTCTCGGATCTGACGAAAGAGCTCTCAAAACGATTCAATAAATTCAAGAAAATAATTGAAGAGCTCTTCAAAGAACTGGAAAGGGATGTGAACTCAGACTTTGAGAAACTCCTCTTATTTGAAGAATCAAATGATTTCATACTATCCGACGATCACATGAAGAGATCAGCGACTCTTCACTCAGAGCTCGAGACTTGTTATCAACAAAACAACGACAAGAGGAAGAAAATGGAGAAGAGATTGGATTCGCTTTGGAATCAACTGGAAGTCGAACAGAGCTATAGAGACGACTTCTATCGCAATAAGAATGGATGCAAACCATCGGTTTTGGCTCTTCTCGCCGATGAGGTGATCATATGTGAAGAACTGATGCAACAAAACGCCGAAATATTTATTGAAAAAATGGTAAACAATAATATCTTGGATTTGACGACCACTAGAAGTACGCCGGCGTCACCGCAACCCAAGAGCTCTTATGGCGTAACTCCGGGTCGATTACCCCGTATTGCAGTCGGACAGAGGAAACGACCATTTCTTCCCTTTTAATCACAATTATGTCAAACATTTTATCAATCCTTTGCTTTTAATATTATTTTATATAAATATTTCTTAGTTATTAGTTTCTAAATAAGATTTAATGAAATATTTTTCGTTTATTATAATATATTCTGTATTTGAATTGTGGTTATTTTAAATCAATTGTTTTTATAATAAAATAGTATTTTAATGTTTCAAAATACAATGCAAATCTACAGCACATTTCGCTACAGTAGTATAAAACGAGTAAATCAATAAATTCACAATCTATGCCATAAAATGCAAATATTTATTTGATTCAAAAATAATAAACGAAACGATTAATACATTTAAATTAATAACACAACTAAAGGTGAGAAGGAGAACAACGAGAGCACCGCCACAATCGCGGGCCACCACTCAGTTGTCAACAACAGCCCACTCTATCTCTGGGTATTAGCCGTAACTCTGATCCGTGTTTCAAGAAGACATCGCCCGCCGTTTGCGACGGATTAATACCGATTCCGTCATCCGTTATGATAGCACTCGTGGCCGGCGTTTGTTTGAACTGTTGTCGTCGTCGCGATCATCAATTGATCCCAAGAAGTGGTGGAAAAAAAAATTAGTTTACAACAAAATGCAATCAACGGATCAAATGTGTTACCTCTTCAGCCGCGTACTTAAGGACAGCGGTAAAGGGGGCGTTCTCTGGAACCGTCAGCCTATGGGACACACAAACAGACAATATATGAGATAATGTGTGACCACAAGAGGTGGCAAAACAGACACTTTGTACGGCAATTTGGGATCAGATGTCAGTGTGATCTTAAAGGTAACCTTCGAGGCGGGACTCGGAGCCGATGCGGTCGCAGCCGTCGCCCTATCAATCAAGTGATTCATTAACCAAACAGTGATTAAGGGGAGCATTGGATCAGTTGTTAGTTATCTTACATTTTGGGATCAATTGGACACAAGAAATGAGACCACAAACTGATTGTCACAACAAATGCCACGCAATTCGCAATCAGTTGTCGTTTGTGTCCATAAATAACGAGTCATTCATTCAAAGCACGTGTTGTGAGAAGTGTTGGGATTTAAACACAACTTCACATGTGTTTTGTGTTTATAAACACTGATATTGTCTTTGAGTTGATTCCGCGTCCCATCTCTTGGTCTCATCAAAGTGTCCGCACATCTGATCCCATAAGCGATGCCTAAAGTGCACGAAGAGGTGCTGATGAGGAAACTGAAGAAACAACGCAAACATAAAGAGAAACAACGCCTCAAGAATAGAGCCGTTGAGAAGCCGACGGACGACACCGTTGTTGATGACATGTCTTCGGCCGATGAGGACATCGATGGCAGACCCGTCATGAAGAGGCCCAACACTGGTGTCAATGATACGAATAATAGTAATTATGGCGTGAATTGAGTGTTGTTTTTGGGACTAAATATTGTCTTTTATTTTGTTAGAGAAATTAAAGGCAAACGAAGACATTAATGGCCGACAAAATCGAGAGATGGCTGACGACGAAGAAGAAGGTGACGACAACGACGACGAAGAGTGTCCGCAATTGGTTCCCGAGACGAGTATACCCTTTAGCGGCGCTTCGCTGACAGTCACGCGTTTTGATGAACTCAAAGACAAAGTCTCGGAGTTTACGTTAAAAGCCATTCAAGACATGGAATTCACGCAAATGACAGAAATCCAGTCCAAAACCATTCCTCACCTCTTGGAGGGAAAGTATGCGATAATCACACCGTTTATACACGTTTTAGCTATACATTTAGTATTTGGTGTAAAACCATGAATATTAGTTTAATTATCATTAATGATGTACTCATTGCGTGTCTGTGTGTTTGTGGTCAGGGATCTGGTGGGCGCGGCCAAGACTGGAAGCGGCAAAACGTTGGCGTTTTTATTGCCGGCCATTGAGTTGATGTATAAGTTGCGATTCATGCCCCGCAACGGCACCGGTGTTCTCATCATATCTCCCACCAGAGAGTTATCAATGCAGACATTCGGTGTACTCAAAGAGCTGATGAAATATCATAAACACACGTATGGCCTGATTATGGGCGGAACCAATCGCCAGTCGGAAGCCATGAAACTGATCAAAGGTGTGAACATATTGGTGGCCACACCGGGCCGTCTGTTGGATCACTTGCAGAACACCAAACAGTTCCTGTTTAAGAACCTTCAGTGTCTGATCATCGATGAAGCGGACCGTATATTAGACATCGGTTTTGAAGAGGAACTGAAAGCCATCGTTAAACTGCTGCCACACAGACGTCAGACAATGCTTTTCAGCGCCACACTGACGAAGAAGACGGATGACCTGATCTCTGTGGCCCTCAAGTCGGAGCCCCTGTATATAAAGAGGAACTGAAAGCCATTGTTAAACTCCTGCCACACAGACGTCAGACAATGCTCTTCAGCGCCACACTGACGAAGAAGACGGATGACCTGATCTCTGTGGCCCTCAAGTCGGAGCCCCTGTATATCGGACTCGAAGAGTATAAAGAGACGGCGACTGTCGACGGCTTAGAGCAGGGCTTTGTGATCGCGCCGTCAGACAAACGCCTGTGCCTTCTGTTTACGTTCCTGAAGAAGAATCGCGACAAAAAAGTGATGGTATTCTTCAGCTCCTGTATGTCCGTTAAGTTCCACAACGAACTCCTCAATTATATTGATTTACCCGTTATGTCCATTCATGTGAGTGTTTAACCATTTAATTTTTATTTAATTTTGTAATACTTTTAATGATTTTTGTTTGCAATCCATAGGGAAAGCAGAAGCAAACGAAGCGGACGACAACATTCTTCCAGTTCTGCAATTCAGACGTCGGTATACTGTTGTGCACAGATGTGGCCGCGCGTGGACTCGATATAAAAGAGGAACTGAAAGCCATCGTTAAACTGCTGCCACACAGACGTCAGACAATGCTTTTCAGCGCCACACTGACGAAGAAGACGGATGACCTGATCTCTGTGGCCCTCAAGTCGGAGCCCCTGTATATTGGACTCGAAGAGTATAAAGAGACGGCGACTGTCGACGGCTTAGAGCAGGGCTTTGTGATCGCGCCGTCAGACAAACGCCTGTGCCTTCTGTTTACGTTCCTGAAGAAGAATCGCGACAAAAAAATAATGGTATTCTTCAGCTCCTGTATGTCCGTTAAGTTTCACAACGAACTCCTCAATTACATTGATTTACCCGTTATGTCCATTCATGTGAGTGATTAACCATTTTGTCTGTTTTATTGAATTGTGTAATAATTTTAACGATTTTTGTTTGCAATCCATAGGGAAAGCAGAAGCAAACGAAGCGGACGACAACATTCTTCCAGTTCTGCAATTCAGACGTCGGTATACTGTTGTGCACAGATGTGGCCGCGCGTGGACTCGATATACCGCAAGTCGATTGGATCGTACAGTACGACCCGCCCGACGATCCCAAAGTATATTTAATTAATGGCTTAATTAATTACAGTCTCATAACATCAGTATTCATAACATTTTTTCTTAAACTCGCAAAACATTTACTTCACTAACAAATTGACTATTCATTAATCGCACGAATTGTTTCGTTTATAATTAACTTTGAAAATATTTATGATTTGTATGAAATTCATTGTGTTATCTCTCCTCTCTCTCTCTCTCTCTCTCTCTCTCCCAAAATGACAGGAATATATACATAGAGTGGGCCGAACGGCACGCGGCGAAGGGGCCAAAGGTCACGCTCTGTTGATCCTGAATCCAGAGGAGCGCGAGTTCTTAAGATATCTGAAGGAAGCGAAAGTACCGCTACAGGAGTTTGAGTTCTCATGGAATAAAGTGGCCAACATTCAGCCACAGGTATGGCATACACTCTACTTTACTGTATTTTGTGTGTATTAATGGCCCGCCATTCCCCCCGTTCCTCGCTATCCATTTTTTGTCACTCTCTAACTCCCGCTCGCGATCTCTCCCTCCCTGTCACTCATCTGTCAACGCCAGCCTCTCTCTCTCCCTCTCTCGAAATGTATCTATAATTATACGCAAACTTATAATAAGTAATTACACAATAATTCTCATTTTCTTTGAAAATTTTCAGTATTTTTTGCAACAATTTTCCGCCGCTTTTTATATCTGATATTTATTGCGAACAGAAATATATTTAATGATTTGTATTTCTCTCTCGTTGTGCCCGTCTTTCGGTTGCGGTTTTGCAATGCGTTTGGGATTTAATTTAAGAATACAAGACTAACACAAAAAACTAAATGTTTTAAAAATGTTTGTTTTATTATTATATTTAATGCTTTTTTGCTAATTTGATAGTTTTGCAGAATATAATCTCTCTCTCTCTCCTCTCTCTCTCTCTCTCTCTCTCTCTCTCTCTCTACCGAGTTATTTGCAATGCCTTTTGAACGGGGATTTATTTTTATTTGCTTCTTCTTCTTCG